CTCAACTGAACTTGATCTATGGTTATGCAACAAGGTGGAGGAATCCACCATGGGGGGAGGGGTATGGGAGGGGTGGGGGGAATCCCCAGCGCCTATGGAGCTGTACTACATAATACAATGTAAGCAACAATAATAATAAAAAAAAAAATGTCTTACCTGAAGTCTACTGAAAACTATGATCTTTTCATGATCCAGTCAGAAATTTATTAAACATGAACTCTGTCTTCTTTCATCAGAATGCTTTGATCCTGCTTACATGATAACAAAATACAGGCTTAATTACCTAACTCCATGATTTTTCTTGATTCACATATAAAAATATAAAACATCTACTTCCATATACATTTAAACAGTGCTTTACATTAAACTGTACTAATTCAATGTCATTTTATTATGATGTTTTCACTATACCAACTTGACTTGAATTTTATGCTAAGAACATTGCGTATTATCACAATGCACTAAGGCAGCTTAAACTAAAATAATCCCTCCAAATTAAACACATTAAAATAAAACTGTGATCTATCGTAATCACATTGTAGCTAACAATTATAATCTTACACTGTATCTATACAACACATCTTTTCTATAATTCAATTACTAATGGGCAGGACAAATCTCAGTTAAGTCAAATGTATATATGATAAACTATTAAGAAGAAAAATATTTTATGCTTTCAACCTAAAAAGAATGATGACAATATGTAAAAAATACTCATGTTTCTACTACTATGATTTTAACTATGATTTTTTTAGATAATTCTTTTTCTAAAATTTATTTATTTTATATTAATTACATTGCATTATGTGATGCCATTTCATAGGCTCTGGCATTCCTCCACCCTTTCCCACACCCTCCCCCCATGGTGAATTCCTCCACCTTGTTGTAGTATTATAGTTCAAATTCAGTCAAGATTCTTTCATTGCAAACATAAATCAAGCATAGAGTCCAGTATCTTATTGTCCAAATTCAATGGTTTCTTGAGGAGAGCATCTTTGGTCTGAAGGCCGGGCTGGCAGAATATCATCCCGATCAATTAAAGGCCACAACATCAACAACAATTTACAACATTATGGAATTATTTGACATGGTATTGAGTAACCAATATGTTACAACATGCAAGTTCTTAACCTGTGACTACTTCATTGACATTTCAATTTTAGCATATATACAATAGGCTTCTATACACCTTAAAATGGCTATAGGGTACTATTCAGCTGTCTCATTTCTATTTTCATTTTAGTATTTAGTGGTTTATAGTGTTGAAGAATAATTTTGCTGAACTTGGCAGATTTTCAGATAGTCTAAGCTGGCTTATAACTCTAATAAGGCTTATGTCAACAGTTGAAGTGCAGAACAATTTAGGAGGTGTGTGCAGAGAAATCCTCAATAACTACTATGATTTTAAAATAAGTCAGACACAGTAGAACATAACTGTGTGTAGCTTTTGACTACTCGATCTATTCATAACATAATAATAGTTTCCATTCCAAGTCTAATTGAAAAATGATTAATTAATTAGCATACCATAGAAAACATAACGTAGAGAAGGGTCTTTTATACATTATCTTATTGTTTATTTTATTTGACCTAAGGTTCTAGTCAGGGATAGAGAAAAACAGACAAATTTCAATCTATTACTGCAACAGCTTTCAGATCTAATTTTCATTCATTATCTTTTGCAAAGTAACTACCTAAATTGTCCTTCATTTTAAGCAAATAAGCAAGGTCTCATCCCTCTGTTTCCCTAACTGAAGACAAAATAAAGAAAGGTAAACTTGTAGAAATTAGGAGTAGAGTGATGATTATCAAAAACTTAGGAAAGTAGGTGGAGGAAGTGATGGATAAAGGTTGCTTAAAGGATACTAATTTATACTATTAAATAGGAATGAAAAATTCTGATGATCTACTGTACCACAACTGACTGTATATAATGTACTGAATGTGTATATGTTTAAAAGCTAAAAGAAGGAATTTTGTTTTTATCAGAAATAATTGATAAATATTTAAGGTGTATGCGCTTACATGGCTAGAACATGACACAATGTATACATGTATAAAAACATCACATGGTTTCCCATAAACATGCAAAATTTTATGTGCCAGTGAAAAAACTAAAATGTTAACACAATTAGCTAAGAAATAAAGGAAGCAAGGAGAGAAGTAACTCAAAACCTCTTTGTTGGGCATGAAAATGGATATCATGAAGAGTGCAATCAAACTTGGGTGGTTTATCAAAATTATTCCTAGAAATTGTTATTCATATAAATGATTTTCCTAATGTTTATGACCTTTTCATTTATTTTTAATGAAATCTTTGCAATTTTACTACATCGTTTCTCTAAGTAGCTGTATTTTAAAAGCATTAACACCCAACTGCTTTAATTTACACATTTTTAGGAGTTTGATAGCATTAACCTTAATGTATCATTTGGGATTTCTTTTACATAATCTTTATCTTATTTTCTTCTACTCTCTTGCTTTTCAGAGTGTATTATGTCCGTTCCTCTGGATTTCCACAAAGCCAAAGTTTTGCAGAAGATGAGTGATATAATAAAACTATGAATCCTGGAATAGGAGCCAACACATCTTAAAGGAAATTAACAAAGTTACAAAATATTACGTCTATTCAATAATAACATCTAAGATAAATTGTAATAAAGGAAAGCATTAGTGTGAAGAGAGATCCAAGATACAGTATTAGGTGAAAGCAAAGCTGTAGAACAAATTTGTTTCTATATAAAATAACATGTATATAATATATGTCTCTATCATATGTGGTTTGTCATATATTTTATATACACCCATAAATACAATTTTCCAGAATCATCAGCAGAAAGAAACAATTATCCATAATTATTCTAGATAAAAGTAATAATTGGGCAAGGAAGTTTTTAATTTTCATTTGCTATTGCTTGTTCTGTAATGTTTAACTTATAAACCCTTCTTTGTGAGGAAAAAGTTTGTCAAAAATCTTAAAGATATCTTAAATTTTGATCCAAAATTACACTTCTTGAAACTCATCATAGAAAAGAACTAAGGTTCTATAACTTCAAGTAATAAAATATTTACAGAAGTACTAATAATTAGAGTGAAAATCAGAAAAGGTCCAATAATAGGGAAATGGTTAAGTTATAAGAAAGCCACAGAATGCAATAACACAGACATCAAACATGTTCATAAGTTTGCATAATAATATAAAAATTATTATGATACTCTAAGATGTAAAACAAACTGTATTTTATAATAATATGACAATGTAACTTTGTAAACACAAGGTTTAAAAATTAAAAGCATGGCCAAATGTTGAAAGTGACTTTTCATGTGTGATAATCCTGAGTTTAAACATTACTTTTTATTATTTTCTAAATGTTATTTCATGTGTATGCATTAGTTTTTAATTGAATATAAACATTAATAAACATCTTTTGAACATATGTTAAAGAAAGATAATTATTTCCAAACCTCATCAGCTAGTCTTCAGACTATCTTAATAAAAATATAGCAGCAGAATGTTTTGAAATTATCATACTCATCAAGAACATGATTTTTCCATCATATTGGAAGATAATAACAAAATTACATACTTTTGATTTTACAAATCCAGGGAAACACAACTGCATTTTTTCATCTCAGCCCATCTTCAAAAAGTTATCCAACCTTTAAAGAATTTCTCAGACACATACTTCATGCAAGCCTTCAAGGTGTCCTTAACCAAGTGGGACTTTTTATCCTCTGATGTGCCACAGAATTTTGAACCTTCTCTAATTTTCATAAAACTACTGAGATTAGTTATATCATTAGTGTGACAACCATTTTCAAAATTGCATGGGAAGAAACTTCTCACGTGTTACTGATTGATTGTGGTGTTGTGTACTAGCAGAAGAGTAACAACAATGTGTAATTGAAAGGTAACTACTCAAACTTCCATTTCTGATAGAATCCAGTACTTCAAGGGCATGAAAGTAACAGAAACACTGAATGTACTCATAAGTTTCTAAAAACACAGCTGAACTTTCAATTTAAAAATGTAACAACAAATTCTGCTTTAGAATCAATAAGAATGCCCACCACACAGACAGGGGACACGGGGAAAGAACCGTGGAACCAGTGTTGTCACAGCATGCTCTGTGAAGGCCAGGTATCTAACAGGCACAAACCACAGGTCCATAAGACACAACTTGATTCTTCACTGTGCTTCCAAAGTTGAAAAAAGCTTCAAGCTCTCTGTATCTAAGGCCTTGAGCCTGACAGGAGGGTGGGACACTCCTGATTCTTTCCACATCAAATGAGACTGTCGTACACACCCAGGAGCCCAAGCAACCAGGAAGTAGTCAAACTGAGGTCAACAAATCAAAGTGAAGTTTGGATTTTTCTTATTGCTTATCTAAATCTAAATTCTTCTTTAGAATTCTTTAGCAGCCATGGAATCCCTCTACCCAAATACAAACTCCAGAAATGTGCTTGTTAGATTTTTAAGCCTTAACAACTCATTTCACTTCTTCAAGCCATGATTTTTCTGCTTAAAGACAATAATACAAATTCACAAGCTATTGCAAGAATGCAATGCATCAGTACATGTAAGTGTTTAGGACTTTGTCTAGAACATAGCATTTATCAATATTACCATACATATATATTTCAATGCATGATTGCTAAGAGCATTGCTAGCACTAAATAACTAAGAAGCCACACATACCCTTACCTTTGGACATGTATTGGGTTTTATTTGATTCTTGAGATAGCATGCCTTAGGAAGGAATTTACAGAAAATAGGAAACAGACTTTTTAAGAATTTTCAGGAAATTTTTAAATGCAATAGAAGGAAACAGCAAGCTGAAAATCGATGTGTGATTATGTGACAATGAGAGAAACAGGAAAACTTGAATCGTCCAGCAACTTCACAATAGTATTTCCTGAGCATGGGCAGAATGCAACGACCTGCATCAGCTCCCACATGCACGGGCACAATGGCAGATCAACTCAGTGGTCATACTTACCACCTTTCTCCACCTCTGGGAGACTTGCCTTATCGACCCACGTGCTAGCAGAGCTTCCTTCCCAAAGCTTACTCTTTTCATCCATTGCTTCTCGAGAAAAACGTTCAGTTAAACTCTCTGAATCACCTTGCGTTCCTTTCCCAATTTCTTCTTCAAGAACATTCTCAAAGCTTTCCTGAATGCGGAGAGGTGTGGTGTCCACATCTGACTTCTCTGCTTCCTGATCTTCAATTTTGATTTCAAAGGACTCTGCAAGTGGAAGTTGAGATTTCTCTGGCCCATCACTTTCACTCAATTCCTGAGACAATGAACTTCTGGCACTTTCATCAGCACTGTTTTCACCATGGACTTCCCTGTCCTCCATGGCAGGTTCATCTTCACTGTCACTAGAATATGTGTGACTTCTGGAGGAGGATGATGAAGCAGTTTTTATGTCTACAAAAAATGAAAATGATAGCGTCAATTGTTGTTTCATGATTCAATGGGATTAACTGTGGTGATTATATTAATAATATTCAAACTAAAATAGTATACTTAAGCAAACTTGATATCATTTTTCAAAATATCCTACATAGTTGTTATAATAAGGACCAATCTACATAGTCTTTGTAGAATTTTTCAATAGGAGACAGCATTTAACTAACAGCTAGCTACTGTTTTAAGTGTAAAAGGCCCTTTTTTTGGAAAACATTTCTAAGTATCTATGTTATAGAAAAAAAACTGAATAATTTGGTTCTTGGACAAGGACGCTTATTTAGCTATCTCTTTATATAATCACAATACTGTCTGTGCATAAAACTCAAATGTTGATCTGTTATAGTGCCACCATACTAATTTAACCTAGTATTCAGGCAACTGCACAGTTTCAGGACCCTGTAATCTTATTTCAAATTCTCCAAAATTAGATGCTATGCAAAAGATTCCGATGCAAGTGCTGAATTAAGGATGTGTTTCAGAAGAAACTCTTAAGGGAATGCAGGAAGTAAGTCAAGGAAAGGAAAAAGACGATCGAGGGAACTACTTCAAACATCTCAACTTCAGACTGATACCACAAGGACCTCTGAAGTGCAAGTTATGTTATAAGAATGTGATTTATATTGGGAAAAAGCTGTGCTTGCATATTTTATAGCAGTCAGACAATGACTGCAGACTACCTCAGGGGGACATGTACTCCCTAGAACTTGTGTCTAAGGTGAAGCTAGGTGAAGCTATTCCAGTAGCTATTGCAGTAGCCCAGGAAAGTCATCTGTAGAAGGTGGAGGGGGCAGACAGTCAGAACTGGAGCTGGGAAAGGAGATCTGGGAGATTTAGGAATACACTTAGGCATGCTGCAGATATGCAGTCTTGAAACTTATAATACTCAGAAGTGATATGCACTACCTAAGATTCTAAACTCCCCTTGAAAATAAAACACACTCTGAATCTACAGAAGCTACACCACTTAAAAATCCACACATATAATACTATAGGCCAGAGAATTACATATTTGGTTTTACTGTTTTAGCCCATATACCTGTGGTTATAATTGTTTCTGGTAGATAAAGGAAGACACCCCACACTTAAAGGCTGCCTAATTTCCTTGTTTTCTATACTTTTTACTCTTTTTTTTACTCCTTTTATTTCTGTGTTGTAGTTTCACAGATGTCTATGGCAGCTAATACAGAGGGTAAGCAAACAAACAAACAAACAAACAAACAAAAAACACTTTAATTCTCCTTTCTCAATCCTTCCAGCCCACCAGTTCTCTGTAACAGCTTTTATCATTGTAAGTATTGTCTCAGAGACATATCAGAGTTTCCACAATAATTCAAGAGATGCTACACAGCAGTAAAAGCAAACTTGAAAAAATCCTTTAAGCAACAGAACACTTCAAGTACAATTCCATTTGCTCTTATCTCCTGATACCTTGACAAGTACCAGATGACCAGTATTTTTCACTGAAATCACATACTTTACCCACTCATTCTTCATTCCTTATTTTATAAATCTAGATTTGCTGGCTCTCTGTAGGAAAAATGACAGATCAAGAAAAAGTATTCCCCTTATTTCTATCAGTTTAGAAACCTTAGGATCTTTTAATGCTCCCTCCATTGAGCTCTTTACATTTGTTTTTTTCGTTGAAGAAAGAACACTTGTTTTTAAGTGATTTATGCAATACCTCTTATTAATTACACAGTTAGCTGAGACACTATGTTATACTTATTCAGACCTTCCAAGAACCTATCTGCCATCTGATGACTCCCATATTTGGCTCAGAGGGCTGTTCACATAATAAGAAATGAGTACTCTTTTGTCTTTCTTAGTAGCTTCTGTTAATTATATTGTTTTATTTCAAGAGGCTGAAACACTCCAGTTTAATTTTAAGTAAGTTCTTCAGAGGAACATGATCAGGAGACTGAACGGCCTTGAAGTGGAAAGTACACCTGACCTCTCTTTAGAAACTCATTTTAGCTTTCAAATTTGTCTCTGACCTCATGGTATCGCTATCAGTTTCACGAGCATTTCTTGCTCTCATTTTCAAAGAGGCACTGGGGTAAGACTGCCTACCAAAAAGCTTCAGGATAATGGAATGGGATTTTCAAAACCACTTTTATTTATTCTCTTAGAAATAAAGCAAACTTTGTGCCCAGATTTTTGTGCAAAGAAATTCTGTGGGGAAAGTAATTGGCATAGAATGAAAGTCACCAATTGGAATACCCAACTCCCATGTCAGAGTGCCTGGGTTTGAACTCCAAATCTCCTCCGGATTCTAGCTTCATGCACACCTGAGACAACAGGGAATGGTCAAGTCCTTGTGCTCCTGATACCATTATGAGAGAAATAAGTTGTGTTTGGGGTTGTAACTTCAGCCTGTCCCAGCCCCACCTGTTGCTTAGAGAATCAACTGCAGAAAGGTTCCTTTTCTCCGTTCTCTTTCTTTCTCTCTCTCTCTTCTCTCTCTTTCTTTCTCTCCTTCCCTTCCCCAGATACATAATTGGAAAAACCAATTTTGAAGACATGGCAAAGCCACTCTGCCCCCTAGCTAGTTCTGTTTCTCTCTGTTGTGTTCCCTCCTGGTTTTCATGCTGAATCAATTGCCTCCTGATTTTCCTGGCAAATACCTTCACACGTTGAATAAAGCCTTTCACCAAAACCTGTAAGTTTGGTGTCATTATTCTGTGTCCTAAGCAAGATTGTTCACTTTTCTTTCTCCAGATTTGTTGACTCTAACCTCTCCCTTTGTTTCATGTCATTTGTAACTATTATTAATATTGCAACACTACAATTAAAGTCTTTACACAACACAAGACTGAAATAAAATGGTATATCTTTCCATGAAACAAATTTAGGTGTCCTAGTCATGACTTCAGCCAGCTATTCATGACAGGTTTGAAACTGAAAGCAGTACTAGTCTCTTCCTGATACCTCTTTTTCTTAAAGGGGAAAAATTTGACTTGCTCTCTATAGGTCAATGCAGAAATTCTAAGAAAACAAACGTCAATGTTCATTACATTCACTGGAGAGGAAGAACAACAGACAGAGAAAAAAATTATCCTCCATCTACTGGTTCACTCACCAAAAGACAGCAACATCTAGGCTGGGCCAACTGAAGCCGGGAGCCTGCAGTTACACCTTGGTCTACCACTTGGTAGCAAGTAACTAGGTTGGTGGAAATGAAAGAACTAAGACTTGGACTGACTCTTTATGGAGCATATGGGGATCCCAAGTGACAGCTTAACACACTGTGCACTAATAATGCTTTTAATTTACTTAATTCTCTTCTTTTTAGAGATCTTTTTCCATGAATGACATGATACATATAGCATATTCTAAAAAATGTCTGTCTTGTGATCCAATCTTGTGCATTATAGTAAGAGATTACAGCTGCAATTTATTGAAGTAAAAAAAAAAAGTTAATTTGAATTATGCATCCACCATATAGCAAAAGGTTAAGTAAGCAGTTCATAAATATCCCATTTAATCTTATGGAATAGTTATTGTCTTCTTTGTTTTAGATCCAGAAAGCAAGGCCCAAAGAAATTGAATGACATGTAATAAACAGAAGCTCCAAATAAATAATCAATTCTATAAAGCATTTATGCTTAAATTATTTTCTCTAATAAAAAACAAGACTCATCTACCTGCTAAAGGGACTTTAAGCAAGAAGCACCAACTGCCATGGACCCACCATGGCCTCTCTTCACTAACTCTCTATTGGTATTGTTCAAGGGTAGTGATGGGAAACAGTCTTTCCCAAAGATCAAATCTTATGAGGCAGAATCTGGCTTCATATTTCTAGTGGTCATTCTTTATTTTGTCAACCACCCCAGGGTCAATGCCCATTTAAAACACTGAGAAATACAATGTGAATACTAAGCAAGAAGAAGCAATCAAAACATTTGTTAGTTGGTTATCTCATGGACCACAATACTATTTTAATGAAAATATGTCTATGTTACTTCACAAATATTGATGGAGCACAATGCATGCAATCAAAAAATCCTATGTGTCTGTGTATAATTCTTAGTATTTATACAGTACTGCCTAATTGTCAACCTGCTATATACCTGTCTAATGATGCCAACCACACATACATCGGCAATCAAAACTGGTTCAGCAAACTCAAGATGAATTTTGATCTCTCTCTCTTCATAACTGAGCTTATGAATTGTCTTCTTTCTTCCTACACACTTATTCATTCACCTGCTAAACACTAAAATCTTCCTATTTTCTAAGCAATGTTCTCCATGCAATGAAAGTCCAAGTCGCTGGTCCTACATAAACTACAAATTTTGCACAGATAATATTTATTTATCTGTCTCATTTTGCATGAGCACAATAAGCCAACCGAACATATTCATTAAGCTGTTTGCACATTTTCCAAACTGTAAATGTGGGCAAATCTTTCAGACATGGTTGCTATACTATTGCAATTAGTAGCCAAATCACCTGTTTTAAATCCTCAACAAGTCTTGCTCTTAGTCCTCAATCATTTCCTCATCCTATAGAATGGAGCACATGTTTTTTATGGCTTATCATCACAATTTCTTCAATTAGTATCTCAATTTTAGCTTCTTTTCAGTCTACTAGCTACAAGTCCATGCAGAAATATCAGTTTTAAGTACACATGGCCAAATTTTGGACTTCATTTAAAACTGAAATATTTCAAATACATGACATAAATCTCAACCCAAAGAAAGCAATCTTCTAATTGCTAATACTAACCCAGTATCTTTAATTTGTTATTATAGAGATTCAGTGAAAAATCTGCATAAATGATGCTCTAATTTTCTTCAAATCTTTAGTGATACATGAATTTATACATCCTACAATTAATCATAAGAATAATTTTGTTTTGATTATACTCATGAGTTAATACACATCAGTTTATATTTTATATTAGCTTCTATAGTTCAATCAATATGTTCTTGTACAGCAAAGCCTAATTAAACAAG